CACGTTATGTAAATTTGCAGTGCAAGATAAGCAACTAGTTAACTAGGCTATATGAAGTTCTCTGTGCTGATTTCCAGAAATTATGCTGCAGGCTTCTGGTTCTTTTTAGCTGATGACACCAGTTTAAAATTCAAACTATAATGTAACATAATAGGCAAATCTCAGCAAAACAAATTTGAGTAGCATTGAATATATGGCATCAGAATGCAGGTTGAGAAAAGAATTAGAAAACTTTCATTTAATCACAGAACTCACCTGTGTGATTGTGCTAAAGAGTTTTTCCATAGTRTCTCTTCTTTTGTCTTTTCTTTCTTCTTTTTAAACAGCAGATTTGCCTCCCTCCCCCCCCTTTTTTTTCCTTCTATCCAGAAAATAGGATGGCTCCACTTCCTCATGCTTGATCAGTGGGTTGCTTCTGTCCTCCACAAAGATAAAAAAGGGCCTTTTCTTGCATGTTTGAATGCCAACAAATTGCAAAGTCAGAATTTAAATATTCTTCTGGATGTTCATGCTATATAGTAACTGCCATCTAGCCCAATGCATTATATACACATAATATAATGTTCCATAAAKATACTGAATGCAGACTGTAAAAAATACTTCCCACTTACCTARATTGATAGGTGTTTTTTATTTCAACTTACAATTTTTTTATAATGACACAAAAATACAGGGAAAATTTAAAACTATATGAATGGTCATTCTACTCAACTGTTTTATTTTAGCACATTATCACGTCTTTCACCCACACATGTATTCTTAATTTTTCTGGAGGTGAATATACTTCATATAAAGAGTAAAGAGCTGTCTAGGAAGTTCATAAAAAGGGTAAAGAGCTGTGAAGGAAGTTCCCTTTCAAAAAAACCTATATATGATATATTATGATATATAATATGAGTGTCACTGAGGCACATTTTGTCATTTTGCCTCATCAGTTCTCACCTCACCTCATCTTAATTGTGACTTGAAGAGGTATCTCTTTAGTGCTAAGCTTTTTATTGCTTTGCTAAAACTTTCAACACCATTGAAAAAAAGTCCAAAATATAAAACGCTAGTAAATGTTTAATTGTTAATGAAGTTAATAGTTGTTTATAGTATTAAGCTACTAAAGTAACTTTAAATTATGCTTTCTAATTATTTGTTATTATCAGTTATTTTATGATAGTATGTAAAGTACTGAGATAATACAAATCTGATCAGTGTATTAAGGAGTCTTTTTTTAAAATTCAAGAAAATAACAACAATTTCTGAACAAAAATTGTGAAAAGAACATGCATTTTTGTCCATTTATTTTTGTGATTTAATTTTTAAAAATGCTRTTTTAATTACAATGTTATTCTGCCTTCAATAATCACTACGAGAATAAGTAATTCCTGAAAATATGCTCCTAAATAACAAGCTTCTAACAAGATGTGATGGTTCAGTAATTTCAGAGAATTTCTGAATTGTACCTCATATATATTCTGCAACAGGACTGAATTTCTTTTGTTCCATGCAACACTTGCATATAGTGCAAATATGAACCACAATATCTAACTGTTTCTCCCTTGGAGCTGTTTAGTAAGCTCCGACACAACCAGCTTACGTGGTTTGGTGGTTAGTAGAAGGTGATATCGAACAAAATATTTAAATGATTCAAAGATTTCAAATGTTTTATTTCATTATTGTACAAAATGTTCAGTGCTCTTCTAAGAGCTTTGCTTGAATCTTGGCAGACTTTAGCAGCCAAGATTTCAGCAGACTTCTGGTGAAGGAGTCTTAAAGTTTGCTTTTAAGACCAGCTTCCCAAAATATGCTTCTTTTCAAAGTAATAAATTGTCTAAACCAGCAATATTTAATACCCAGTTGCTATAACCAGAGCAATTTTCAGTAGTCTTAATGTTAAGAAACAACAGGGACTGTCTTTGGTCAGGAAGCGATAATTTTTTCAGCGAACAGAGCTGCACTTGGAGCTATTCCCTGTGGGATTACTGCCAGACTGAAAACAATCACAAAATCCATCATTTTTTGATAAAAGGCATAATGGATTTTGACCTTGCTTCATTAAACAGCAGTACATAGCACATTACRTATAGAATCTTTGATTTATGCAATGAACAATTTACAACAGGATGAAAATGGAAGAGAGGAGAATAGGAATTAAAAGAATCCTATCTTCTTGCTAGATTGCATACTTCTGGAAATTATTCTGGTTGGAATTAATCTGATCAAATGCTTATGTCAGCAATGTGTGGTCATCCTAGACTCTCCTTATTTTTCTTTTTTTAGAGAAAAATTAAATACTTGTAAGGAGCAGTTCATCAGATGTCTAAAATACACATCTAAAGTAAGCTGGATAWATGGTTTCCTGCAGGGATGGATATATCTTCACTGACCATAAAGGAAATGCAGGATGACCAGCTCAGATGTTCTGTTSATGTCTAACATTGTGAGATGAATCCCAGCCTCTGAGGACAGTGTGATAAGATTGACATAAAAACTTGAATAAAACAAAATTGGTTATGGTAGCAGGGATAGGAAGCTCAACAAAAGATCTAAGAACTAATTCACTCTTTGTCAAATGTTATTTCCACTGAGGAATTTATCTTCAGGCTGTAGGGGACAGCAACAGAAGAGCAATAAACTGAAGCTCACATGCCATATTTAGAGATTTGTTGTGGAAGGCTCAGCTAATTTCATGAGATTCTACAGTTTCTAGAGAATGCTCCATTTTCTCAAAGCTCTTTGAAACTACCTTTTAGGTATTCTTAGAAGTGGATTATTTCATGAGCCCCAAAAAAAAAAACAGTCTGTCTTTGTGAAGGAAGATTATGTCCCTAGAAAAGTTTCTCTAACTCTCATCTATTTCAATTCTTGTTATACCAACCCTTTACATGTATGCAGAATGAAGGAAAGAATAAGAAACTCACAGGATTTTCCATGTTAGAAYATTATATCAGATAGTACTAAACATAGGCAAGAACTGTGCATATAATTTCTCTAATTGTGTCACCAGGTAGCAGTTACCGCATCCTGTCCTGTTAGTTTTACTGTTTAAGAGAAATCTGTGTGAAAGTAAGGATAAAGATTTTCCCAAGTCCATCATATATATATTTTTCCCAATTGATTTTATTTGGAACTGCATAGTAAAATAGGTTTAAGATAAAAGGCAACTCCTCTGTGAAGGATATGGCTTGTGGTACAATGATTAGTGAGATTACAACAAAACATAGCAGCTCTTAAACACACAGTAYTCCTATCCTAGGTACTCAGGTACCTAGGTATTCAATTACCTAGTATTAGGTATTTGAAAAATGTGCAAAACTGAAAAATGTGTTCTGATCTTTTTAAACAAAAGTAACTCACATTGTCAATATTAACTTCCATTTTGTAAATCTACAAATTTTATTAAAATAATGCCGAGTTATATAAGGTTCTGTGACTCTCTGCTAATATATCTTTATTTTATTTTCTCAATTTTCAATATTTTCAGGTAATGAAAAGCTTTGTCTATGCAGAATCTGGAGTTAGTGAGACTGACAGCAGCAACAAATTGATGAAAATATTATTTCACTGTGGCTGTAACGCAGTTACATGGTGAACTGCCAGTGAGAAAGTCTCATTTTTTATATGTATAAGCAATAAATTAAAACGCTGAAAGATTTTTTGAATTACAGCTTTTCCAATAAAAAAATATAAAAAATAAGATGAATACTGCACATAGGCAAAGAGATGGATAATAATGCACGATCTTTGTGTTCAGTTATAGGAAGCTACGTTACAGAAAAGATTGATGTATTTCTAGAGATGAGGGTCAGAACTGAATATCACCAGCTTGCCATAGGACATAGGATGGCTCTGCAGGAGTTTTAGAAAGAGCTTCTTTAATCATTTGGAGTAATTTAGCATTCAGGCAAGGATATAATTTAATAGTTGATTTAATAATTTTTGAAAGTTGTGTGTACTGACAATAGTGATCTAATTCTCCAAGAGTAAATTCAGAATGGAGAAGGAGACTTCATTTGAAGGCAGTCTCATTTGGGAGTATTTTCATTTAGGTCAGTGGACACATTCCTGGATATGAGTTACCCTTAAGAGTGATCTGATTCAAAATAAGTACTTGAGTTTACAATATTTATTTTCTTTTCGACATCTCTTTGTTTTGTTTTGTTTTTTTCCTATGTCAGTGGAAACAAGAGGGATGCTACTCACTATTGCTCTTGATAAGCCTTTCAGTTGTTGAGTTTTTATTCTGTCAACTCAGATGTAAACCCTAATGAAATGTTTGTTGGTGGTATCTGTACTTTACAGGTGGAAATCAGTGAATATCCTCGTGTTTAAAAGAAATGTAATCTGGTAAAATTTCTTTAAATTGAAAGAATACTTCTTTGAAATATAAAATATGGAATGAAAGAAGTGGTATTCGCCTATGAAGCATTTCTATGTATCTTTAAATATTAATATCTGATAAGGAATTGAGTAATCATTATTTCCTTCACTATATTAAAATTTTTTTTTTTTTTGTGTGTACAGATTTTGAAGCTTGACATGTCCTGGCATTTCAGTGATAGGCAGTTTAGTTTTGCAACACAAAAAGTTCTTACTAAATTGGTGAAAAAAAATGTAGAATGTTGTTAAATCTTGCACTTTCAAGGTAGAARCATTTTATTAACCATTAGTAACAGTGGTTCTATTGTAAAATAATATTCTCTGAGTTGTAGATTGTAGTATGGTTCTTAGAGGTATTTTGTAATGAGGGAGCTAGAATATCATGAATGGAGGAAATGGAGGAAAGTTTTGTCATTTTATGTAAGATAAAATAAATTTGTGCCTCTTGGAAACAGCAGTTAAAGCAACTGATAAGTTAAAACAACACCACATTGTATATATCAAAAAGTAAGAGATGATGAAAATGTTTTTCAGGCACAACTTTATAAGAATTGTATTTTAATATTTACTTTGGCTTTTGTTTTTTTAATTAATTCAAATAACTAATCAGTGTCCTTTTTTTTCATACATAGCAGATGGTACGTGAACAATACACAACAACAACACCAGGCACTTGCCTAGAGAGGCCAAAGAACGAATATGTCTACAAAATTGGCATTTATGGCTGGAGAAAGCGTTGCCTCTACCTGTTTGTTCTCCTCCTGCTGATCATCCTAGTTGTGAATTTTTCTTTGACAATTTGGATTCTTAAAGTGATGTGGTTTTCTCCAGTAAGTATCTTCTTTAATTTTCCTTTTTTTTTCCTAGTCATATACTCTTCTTTCTCCTGCTTCACTACTTCACTAATTTCATGTGTATATCAGCTTCACTGTGTGTAATACATTTTTCTTTTTTCTTCCTTCTCAATTGTAATTTGTAGTTATGTTTAAAGTGTATGTAAAATATCCATCTTTTAATATATTTATTCATCTATAATTTCTGTATTAGTACTAATCTTTAAGACATTTTTTGATGTGGATTCTAACTTCTGTGAAAAGAATGTATTTTATTTTTATAGTACTCTTATAGTATTTGGGTTTTTTTTAATGTATTTGCTGTAATTTTAACTTCCGCAGAATTTCATAATGTTAAAAGGTGTTTGTTTTTTTCTTAACTATCTTCTCCTGTTTATGGGTATCTAAAATTTAACAACTTATTTGGCTAATTAGTTAAAGCCCAGAGGCAGTTAATACTATTCATACTTTAAGCTATGAAGCTATATTATTGAAGAAAAGATCTAATATCTTTTCCTCTGTCATATTTAATATTTATGTTAATATTTAATATTTATGTTAATATTTATAATGTAATTTTGCATGTAGCAGATTAACAGTTTGGAAATCTGCAAGATGTAGCTTTATTCAGGATGCAGTAAAATGCATCAGTGAAAGCAAAGCTAAGGTAATTTGTTCCTAGAATGCAGTSATGATATGCAGATGTTTTGAGTAGAACTTCTATGAGAAAAACAGTAGCAGTAAATGTCTACTGCTCTTCCCCTGCCATTATAGAGTATTATACTTAAGTTCTAATCGTCTATATTATCCCTGTGTCACTAAATGAAGGGCACTTGATCTTCATAGAAGCATTTCTACACTCTGCTTTCTATTGCTTTACATAGGTGAATTTTAAGTGCTACTAATGTAGTTGCTACTGCATGGATAGTCATGAAGTTTCTTCTCTCACATGTATTTGTTTTCATCATTATCACTGTCATACTGTCTGCACTGTCATGGTGCAGAACATCTTAGATCACTTACCAGTTTTCTGTTACGCAGTTTATAAGGACAACATGTACTTAGTGCTGCACCATAAATGATAGAAAATATCAATAAGTAAAAATATTTAAAATTTTCTGGGTGACTCAGATTTTTTTTTTTAAAAAAGGAGTTTTAAAACTTATTTTCTGGTGGTTTTTCTTTTGGTACATAACTGGGTATTTCTACTACTCTGGTCTAAAATAACGAAATTTCATTGGCAACTCARTTTTCAGGAACTAGTATTTCCTACTGCTTATTTGCAAGCAAGGCACCAAATGTCTCAGCTTGCTGAAGCACAGTATTTTCACATGCTGGCAACAAGAGCAGTGGGATGAGATTATTCAAGAAATGCAAGCTTGTATCCTTGCACAGGGTGGACTGTAAATTCCATAGTTACAAGGATTTTCCCTAATTTTCTGTTAAAGATTTTGTATTTCTGACATATCCAGCTAAAACAGTGACTCAATCGCAACTTCTTCATTCATTTAGGATAATTCTGAGGAAATAACAAATTCAGCTGTGAAACAGTAAGAACATCTGTCCAATGCACAAGTATATGTCACAATTCCYACAGAAGAACTGAGATTTTTGCTAGATATTGTTTTAACAGAGTGTGTCTGTAAAGACAAAAAGTAGCTCCGGACACATCAGGAAAATCGTCCAGAAAAGTGCTGCTAACCTCTAAGAAAAGTCTAAGAAAAAGTGTAGATGTTAACTGCTTGTTGCAAGTCTAGTAAATGTAGCTGTAAATGAAGAATATAAATCATTTCCCTAAAGAAGTGCTCATTGTAAAGAATGAGGGTAATGGTTGTAGAAATAAGCAATGATGTCTTTTTTTTTTTTTTTTCTTTTCCTGAAGGGAGTAAACTACAAGTTTTGCTTAACTGCTTGAAAAAGAGAGGTAATGATATTACCTCTCTTATAAAGCAAAATTCCTTTGCTTTATTAAGTTCCAACCTTGAAAAAAAATACACTTGTCATCTCAGGAATCATTTGATTAATATATATCCTACTTATCCAATTAAATATCTCTATTATTGGGAAAAGTTAAAAGGAATTGTGAAATATTGGTCAATGTGGCATGATTTGGCTGAGCAGGGAACTCGTGATAGAGCTCCAATGTAAAAAGGCAATTTACAGGAGTGAGAAATAGGGATAGGCAGCAAAGGAGGGATTTACAAGCCTCTGTGGGCACATAGGGATGCTATGAGAACAGCCAAAGTTCAGCTGCAGTTGACGCTTGCAAGAGACATTAATAGCAACAAGAAGAGCATCTACGACTACATTGGTAGAAAAAAAGGCTGCACAAGGAAAATGTGGTCCCGTGACTGAAGGAGGTGGGTGATTTAGTTACAGCAGACACAACCAGGGCTGGGATATGTATTGGTTTCTTTGCCTCAGTCTTCACCAGCAAGGTTTCTGAGACCTTTGTGTTTCATGAAAGGGTTCAAGGTGAATGACCAGCAGTGGATGAGGGTCGAGTCAGGGAGTAAAGGAGAGAACATGACCCACACAAGTCCATGGGACCAGATGGACCCAGCATTGGTGAGAGGAGCTCAGTCATGTTTGAAAAGTCATGGAGATTGGGGAGATCCCCGATCACTGGAGGATGTTGTGTAGTAGAAGTCAGAAGGACAGTCCGTGGAATTACAGCCTTGTCAGCCTCACTGCAGTGTCTATCTGCATGCCCAGTGTGATCAGATAACTTAACTTGCAGGGTTGTTAGTACATCTGTATCTGATATGTAAGAAAGAGTTCTGAGGATCTTCACAGTTTGGATTTGCACTCAGTCCCCTGTTCTCTTGCCATATATGTTAAGCCTTACTTATATGCACATATTTCTGGCACTGGAACAAATTGCTCAACTGCAGCAACTGTACTGACAAATGCAGAATTTTCCAAATATCATCCAAAGGTATTTTATTATTTTGGCCCACCTTTAATTAGTGACTGCTCTACTGATATACCCGTATCCAACAACTTTTATCACAGAGCTAAAACTTACCTAATCCTTATGGGGTTTTGATGGCAGTTACTAATAAACATAGGCAAAGTATTAAATATCTTAGTTTTTAAAGTATTTTCCAAAGTTTTTCATAAGGCAATGTCTATTTATTTTTATCTAATTATATGAGAAAATGTTGAAGACCTAACTACATATAATTTGCTAAACAACAGCTAGATATATTAGTTAGCAGATAATGATAGAAATCTTGATCTATTTATGAGTATTAAATGTATTTTCAAATATTTTAACTGATTATATGATTAAAAACTTAAGTAAAGAAATAATTTAAATACTTGACAAATTCAGACACCAAAGATGGAGAGGATTATGTAAGGAGATATAAGAAATATAAAACTAGAAATGTAAGGAATTAAGAAAGGAAAATTTTAACTGAAAATCATGTAAGACTTTTTGACAGTTTGACTTACTAGACTGTGTAATAGCCTGCCATATTAAATGGGGGGTGCCCAATCATTTGGAACATTTAAAACTAGACTACACAGCAATAAAAATGTACTGCAAAGAACACACTTTCACAGCAAGAGTTCTCCTTCATTGCAAGGACATAGACTAATGAACTTGAAGATCCTTTTGCTTTTTTTTTTAAGGAAGGTTATTCTGTGTTTTATTGTTAGCAGTGAGTATTCTATTGAGTTATTTACAATATTAGCTACATTTTTGAAAGTAGAATTAAAAATGTTTATTTAATTACAGATTCCCATTGTAATTTTTACTAAAATGTTTTCTTGTCAGAATAGTGATAATTRGTTTCTATTCTGAATAAGCCCAATCATTTGTATTTTCCTATTTTTTAGGTTAAGGTAAATCTGATTTGCCTGAAACCAGGCTACAGTCATTCTCATTGTCTGTGTCAGACATGGAATCCGTTCATATTATGTGCAAACAAGAAAAGCTACAATAAGTCATATTGCGATACCTGTTGCATAAAACCAGTTATCCCAGGAAATAAAGCTTCTCAAAAAAGTTTTTATGTGTGTATATACATATATGTATATATATAGTATGTATTTTGTTAAAATAAAATCATTTGATTAGTTTAAACTATATTATTAATTAATTAATGTGTATATAAGAAAGAATAGAAGAACACCTTGGGATTTAGAAGGAATCTAAGCTTACTATTGTTGGAACAATCTATAATGTAGTTGAGGAGTTTTTAAAAATCTGAGTACAGTGAGATTATATGATATAAACAAGTTTTAAAACTAGACAGGGGATCTCAGAAGTGATTCCAGATCCTGTTTCTACTTTGCTAATTTTGAGTTTAATGGGTAATCTTCAATTAAGCTGTTAATGGCAAACCTTTTGCCTATGAAAAAGGGGGCATCTGCATGCCTGTTCCCTAARCCTGATATACTCAGTAACACACAGTGTGAGACTCAACAAGTGACCTGAAAAAGGTCTGTGTTCTTGGAACATCATCTGTTTTTTTTCTAGTGTTATCAGGTGACTTCATAAGAGGTTACTTCTTAGAGATTTTTTTCATATATCTTTAGATCACCATTATTGTCAAGAAGATTATTACAGAGATTCACCTACTCAGTAAAAATTTACCATAGTGTTTCTTAGAATAATATACATTGTAACACCGAGCAGCATTTCTAATGCTGCCTTTGCATCACTCCAAGTGTTTGCATCCTCTTTGCACCTTGACCGTTTGGTAGCCCCATCTCTGGTCCCTAAAGTGTCCTAGTTCTTGCAGGAATGCTGGATTGCAGGTCTCTTCCTGCTCATCATCTGCCTTCCCAACTTCTGTCACTGATACAGTGATCAGGACATAAAGAAACATAGGGGAGTGCACCTATTCTGCAAAATAGCATCCAAAGAGTCTAGCCAACATACCGAAATAACCAAAAGACAGGGAAATTAAACAACTTAGTTTTAGATTCTTGTTCTGTAATCAACACACAAAAAAGTACATACATATTAATGTATAAAATTCCCA